CTGACAAGCCCAAGGTTGACAAGTAAAAAGGCACAGTCCCGATGTTACCAAACCACATGGCAGGCCATTAATTCAAGTTCATTGTAAGTCCCAAGGTCGACAGAGCATGGCAGACTGCTGAACAATGACATGGCTATGTGCAGGGTCCAAGCGTGCCATAAGCTAGAGACTATCGCCAAGGCTGCTTATATAGGGGAACCAGACTACATCCCAAAGGCAGCTACCCAGCTGCTTGTGGTAGATCCCACCATGAAGCTGATTGCCAGTCTCATCATGGGGAATAACTACCACCAGCTGCTAAGCCACTCCACCAGGCCCAGGCAAGTTGACATACAAATTTAACTACCACAACATGGGACGGCAAGGTGGTTGGACCACTTGGTCTCCAAAGGCCTTTCAGCCTCCCGGCTTTCTGAATCCATGGTCCGTTCCCACTCGTCCTCTTCCGTGTGTTGCTCAGCCTCTGCACCCCCCCCTTCTCTCATCTGCTCCTGTCTCACTCTGCTGCAGGCTGGGGTCTGGGTTTGGAACTTTTCAGGCCAGCTGCAGGAGGAAGGAGACAGCTAGAGGCAATGCAGTGGGCTCTCCCAAAGTTGGGGGGGTCAAGTCTGCACAGTGGTCTGTGGGTTATTCCAGCAAGGGAGGAGCTCAGACTTGCCTGAAAGGCAGCTCCTCCGTTATCTGCGATCTCAGCTAAGCCGGGAAACAGTCTGGGCTCCTGAGTTATCTCGTCATCCTGGAGCCATGGGCATGTTGGTCTCCTCCAGAGCCTTGAGAAGGTGACCTCTTCATTCCAAACATTCCAGTTCGATTTGCAGTCAGCCTCCACACCCCACCTTCCAGCCACACCCCAAGACACACAGCTGCCCACCTGCTCTTTCCGCCTCCAGGCCTTTGCTCAAGCAGTTAGCTCTGTTGTGTCTGCAGTGCCCTCCCATGTCCTCTTCTTCACCTGGGGCTTGACACCTCTGGCTTCCTCATTCTGCATGGCTCAGGTTTCTATTTTATTTTAAATTTTTTATTGTGATTTCGATGCAAATTTGCAAAGCAGTTTTGTTTTACTCTTAGCAGTTCATGCACATTTGGTTTCATGCCCCATCACAATCCCAACCATAAAAAGCTCTCTTCCATCCTCCATGTAACTTACCCCTCCCCGTGCCCTTCTTATCTGTGCATTCCTGTCTGCTCAGCCGTTCCCTATGCAAACGCTGCCCTTCTGACTTCTCATGGTTGACTGGTCTAAGGCGTGCATCTCCTGGGGTCAGGGGTGCATCTCCCTGCGGTGGGTGTTCTGCTTGTAGGTCTTTCTACTGTTGGGCTGAGAGCTAATCCATGGAAGTGAGTCCATTTCCAGGCCCAAAGGATAAGCCGGGGCCATGGTCTCGGGGATTCCTCCAGGCTCTATCCAACCAATAATTCTGGTCATTTTTGTTTTAGAATTTTGTTCCACCTTTTTCCTCCCTCTCTATCCAGGATGTCCAATTTTGATCCCCTTCTGAGTAGTTGGCATTGGTAGCTGGGCACCATCAAGTTCTGGTCTCAGGGTCATGAAGGCTGAGGTCCCCATGGTCCATCATATCCTTGGACTAATTGTTTCCAAATGACTTTGGTTTCCTTCACTCTTCTTTGCTCCGGACGAGGGGAGACCAATAGTTGCATCTTAGATGGCCACGGGAAAGCTTTTAAGAGTCGCTGCTTACCAAAGTAGGATGTACAAGATTTTTATGTGCTATGTTGTGCCAGTTAAGCATGATGTCCCCCAAGATTATGGTCCCGAGCTGCCTGGCTCAGTTTAAACCACTCACCGTTCCACAGAATTTACTGGTCTCCCCACCCCCTCCCAGGCAGACATCATTGCCTCCTGCTCTGAGCTCCCACAGTCACACCCGCAGCCCCCCTTACTTCCCTCTTGCAGCACCTCCTCCCATTGCCGTAGTTCACCTTCCCTCCCACCAGCCTGCAGAATCCCTGAAGGTGGGAAGTATGACGAGTCCCTCTCTGGGCCATAGGGCCTGGCACGGAGTGGGTGCTTGGTAAAGTTTGGGTGGGTGGGTGGATGATGGATGGATTAGAGAGAGAACAAATGAACCCAGAGAAATGGCCTGTCCCTCGTCCTGAGGGGTCGGAGAAGCACGCTAACGTGTCCTGGTCACGAGTGTGCAAAGCCCTCACCTTTGGGGTTTGTTTTTGCCAAATAACCTCACCCAGCGGCTCCATTAACTTAACTACCTCGGGGCGAGTACAGGTGACTTGTTGGCCGGGAATCGTCTTTTTCCAAGTGGGATCT